CTCGTGAACCGAACCCCTATGTCGAGGCAGGTCCCCGACAAGAAAGGTGTCTATAGGGTATGTCTTTGATATTCTTGTGACATAGAGGGGATCTTAAATTGCTTCTTAAATTCTCAGGAGGAGTGTAGACAAATTAGGGATATTAGTATATTAGAGGAAGTTATTTGCTGTTGTTATTAAGTAACATAGAGTTGGTTCCAACCCAAAATAACCCTGTAAAGAGTTTCTGAGGAACAGCTGGTGAACTTGAAATGCCGACCATGTGGTTCAAACTCACTTTGCAGTCTAGTGCATTAACCCACAGTGCCACACCAGGACTCCAGAGGAAGTTTAGGATCAGAATAACGTTGGTGCAATACAGATGTGCCACATGCACTATCAGAAGGAGCTGAACTAACATTTTACACAGAACAATTATCCACGCTTACTGGCCAAACAACATAAAAGTTAGGGGAGGTAATGAATCATAACCAAGAATATTCTAAAATGTGATGCGTGTTTTTAAACAAGTGAAAGCTAGAGAAGAAAGTAGGCTTTTGTGATAGGATATGTATTTACATCTGTATATATAAAATCAGTATTGATAGTCCATTTCTGGTAAAATCCTAATTATTTGGATTGTCTTTCATTGTTGTACACCTTAACTTAGTATGTGTGGTTTTTTGTTTGTTTATTTTTGTTTTGTTTTTAAATCTTGGAATTCCTCCTTTTATTAAATTTAAACTTAACATCCATTAAAAGGACTTATGTTATTATCCATGTAATACTTACTTGAAATTTGGTATCATTAAAATGAAAAATGATAAGGTATTTTCTGCTTTTCCTTTCCAGGGATGTTCTATGTGGAAAATTGGCCTGTGTTCGGCCACATAAGAATACTTATAAAAGTGATAATCAATCAACAGTTTATTCATATACTAAAGGTCATGTATGCATATCCATAACTCCTGGGTCTTCAGTTAGTTCAGATGGAAGTGATTTTGCTTATGTAGCTGATGGCACTGTGTGTGGTCCAGGAATGGTAATAAAACATATTATTTTATTTCTAGCTGTGTTAACTTACATTAACGATAAAGTATTCTATTCCTTGATGATTATCAGAATCATATTGTATGCATTTGAAACAGTGCTATCACTTCTTCCCCATATATATTTTTAAAAATAATTAAAATAAGCTGTATATGTCCAAGAACATAGTTTGACCTGCTACCAGTCCAAACATTCAAAGAGATGAATGTCTTTTAAGCACAAAATTCGACTTGCTGACAGATGACTTTCCTTTTGCTATACCTATAAAATCTTATATTATTTAGTCATAAAATTCTAATATTGAGCTTCCATTTTCACTAATGAGCTTACATATTTCTTAAATCCTTTCCTTATTTTCCATATTAAAGCATACCCATGAGAAGATTTAAAAAACAATAAATTTGCATTAGGAAAGCATGGCTATTGTACATGTGCAAGTTCATGTATATATGCATTTAAATATAGATATGAGTACTTGTTGTTGTTAAGAGTACCTATGTTCATGCAATCACAAAATAAAATGAGGACAAAAATGGTTGAGAGTTTTAATCAATTCATAGAGAGGTATGAGGGCATACACTCCAGAAAACAAAATAATGCAAGGCATTTGAAATTCAAAGCAGCATTCATAAATTGTTGTTGTTGTTGTTGTTAAGTGCCTTCGAGTCGGTTCCGACCCATAGCGACCCTGTACAGGGTTTCCGAGGGTGTAAATCCTTACGGGAGTAGAAAGCCTCATCTTTCTCCCGCGGAGCAGCTGGTAGTTTCGAACCGCTGACCTTAAGGTTCGCAGCCCGATTCGTAACCACTACGCTACCAGAGCTCCTTATTCATAAATTAGTGTCTTGCAATTAAGTAGCACTCAGCACTTGTTAAATTGGTAGTAAAAACAAAGACCTTGAAATTGAGTTTGAAATTAGCAAATCTGGAGTCAACAATGCTAGTCTCTTAGGAGACTTCTTGCCTTAGTAGCCTGCTTCTAACATACCTCCTGATGATCCTGTTTCTAGTTATTCTGTCCTGTGTGTAATTCTACACTATAAATATAAATTAGATTTAGTGATTTACTCCCAACAAACAGAATTAAACAAAGGTTATAGGATGCCACTTGTAAGATTAGTTTTAAAAATCAGGACAACCATTTTGCATGTACTCCTTCTCTCCTTTTGCTAAAAGCAAGTTCACTGTGATGGAGCAGCCCACATAGAAAAGTTTCAAAATAATCAGAAACGGAAGCTCTCAATCTAAAAGCTTGAGACAAATGGAATTCTACCAAAAACCTCATAAGGGCACTATGAAGTGGAATACTTCCCAGTCAATCCTTAAATGAGACTATTGCTTTAAATATCACATCTAGATCACAACTAAAATGTGCCCAAATTCCTGCTTCCACAAAAACTATAACAATAATAAGTTTGAAGTCACTGATTTGGGGGATTGATCACACATTTGTCTGGTTATCATACTGTGGTGGTTTGCATGTTGCTGTGATGCTAGAAGCCATTCGACCAGTATTTCAAATACTAGCAGGGTACAACCATGGTGGACAGGTTTCAGCAGAGCTTCTGGACTAAGACAAACTAGGAATGTTGTTGTTGTTGTTATGTGCCGTGGAGTCGGAACCGACCCATAGCGACCCTGTACAGGGTTTCCGAGGGTGTAAATCTTTACGGGAGTAGAAAGCCTCATCTTTCTCCCGCGGAGCAGCTGGTAGTTTCGAACTGCTGACCTTGCGGTTCACAGCCCGAGTCGTAACCACTACGCTACCAGAGCCCCTTAAACTAGGAATAAGGAGAGGCAAACTATTTCTGAATATTTACCCACTGAAAATCTTAACAATAATAGTTGAACACTCTCAGCACCAGAATATTGACAGATAAAGTGCAGGAAGATGAGCCCCACAGTTTGGAAGGTACTCAATCAAATATGACTGTTGTTGTTGTTATGTGCCGTGGAGTCAGCTCCGACTCATTGTGACCCTGTACAGGGTTTCTGAGGCTGTAAATCTTTACGGGAGCAGAAAGCCTCCTCTTTTTGCCACGGAACAACTGGTAATTTCAAACTGCTGACCTTGAGGTTCACAGCTGGATTTGTAACCACTACGCTACCAGAGCTCTAGGGAACTCAAATGGAGTAAAGCTTTTATAATCTTTATTTGCTGATGAATAAGAAATATATTCATATATATTAAAATATAATAAGAAAGCTGTAAACAACCATTAATAATCAGAACATGCAATGTACAAAGTATGAAGCTAGGAAAATTGGAAGTTGTCAAATATGAAATGGTACACAAAATATATAAAGCAAATTCTAATAGATTTGAAAAAAATAAATCTACAATAATAGTGGGAGAATTTAATACACACTTTAGAAAAAGGGTAGAACAACCAGAAAGAAACTCAACAAAGACATAGAGGAA